ATATATATATATGTAGAGAGAGAGAGAGAGAGAGGGATTTAGTTAGTCTATTTTTTAAAGGACAACTATTTTTTCTCAGATATTTTCACTATTTCAAAAAAGAATTTAAATGTTAAAAATTTAAGTAGCCAAACATTAATAATGTTATTATTTTATGTTAACATTTGTGCACTCATGTTTTTCTTAACTAATCAAATCAAGTTAAAAAAAGATTTAAATCACATTCAAAAAGTTTTTTTTTAATCAAGAATTAATTCAAATTGGTACTAAAAAGTAACCTAAAACTTTGGTCACTCTGTAATTGATGTAATTCAAGTTGTTGACCGTATGTCTGATTTATTTGATATAATATTTTCTTCTATAATTGACTCTCGAACTTGTTTTGCAAAGTAAACTCGACTATCTATTCAATATCATCAAACTTGAGAATTCATAGCTCACTAGAGGTTCTTTTCGAAAGAACTCGTTGAGAAAATAAGTTTGTAGCGCCACTAACTAGTTGACATCAACCCAAGTTGCTCGCTACGAACTTAGCTATGGTGACTTTATTATATTCATTTTTTTTTTAATGTAATTGTGTAATATAACCAAATCTATAGAATTTTTCTAAATTTTTATTCGAAACCTAGCATCCCTCTTAGTAACTAGTAAATACTTCTTTTCTTAGAAGTACAATTTTGGATGAAAAGCAATTATTTTCTTCTGCAATTAAAATTATTGATGAAAATAAATGTAAGAGAAAAGTCATATATGTACATGGGCTTACCAGATGACAATATTTTAATGGGCTGTAGTATCCATGGGCTTCTATGATTTAGGCCTATTAGAATTCACACTATTTGTAAAGGGGCCGTAAGTGTGAGAATTGCAATGTTGTCTAACAGGCTGAAGAAAAGTTTTTCAAACAAATGTGAATCTAGTTCTTCAGATACATTACTTCGGTCACAATATAAGTTGTACATATAAAGTTCAAATAAATGTGAACATAATAATAAGGTTTGAACCTAATATCAAACTTTATTTTAAATAAATATATGATTCAAATATCATTCAAACTTTAATTTGAATCGCATATATCATTATTTGATGTTAATTTTTGAACTTGGGGCCCTATCAGTGTTCAAATCACTTATTTGAACATAGCTGTTGAATCATCTCCTTTCTTTTCTTCAAAGTACAAACTTGAAGGACACGTGACATTGAAAGAGTTGATGGTTGCATTTTGATTCAAACAAATAAAACATTAAAATTGTCTCAAAACAGGAAAAGCTTATTACTTGTTTGATTTCAAATTTGTGTTTTTATTTTTATTTTAAGAATATATTTGTTTATTACATTTTTTACCTACCAATGCTAGAACTGCACATCTTATTTTCCGGATGTAGAGACCATCCGCTACTATCCCTCCTCATTCTCATGAAGTTCTCTTCGCCGAAACACGCCGCCGCCGCCGTTGTCGCCCCCGCTGCCGGCGGGGGGGGGGGGGGGGGGCGGCGGATCTCATCCTCGCTAAAGAAGCCCTCTGCCGCCTCAAACAAAACCTCCCCATCAGCCACCCTCTTCCCCCCTCCGCCTTAACCCAAGCCCTCCTCCTCGCCTTCCCCTCCCGCCGCGCTACCCTCTCTCTCTTCCTCTCCCTCGCTCTCCACATTCTCTCCCAGCTCAATCTGCTCTCCCAATCCCTATCCATCTCCCGCTTCCTCACCTCCCACTTCCCCCTTTCCTCCCTCCTCCCCTCCCTCTCCAGCTCCCTCCCTCTCCTCCGCTCCACCAAACCCCTCATCTCCCCCTCCCCCACTGCCGTCGACCTGCTCATAAAATCCTACTGTTCCTCCTCCCAAATCCCCCAAGCCCTCTCCGCTCTCTCTCTCGCTAAATCCCTCGGCTTCCACCCCTCCATCCTCTCCCACAACTCCATCCTCCACGCCATGTTCCGCTCTCGCTCCTCCTCCGAGGCTTCTATCAAGAAGCTCTTATCCGACCTCACCCATTCCGGCGTCTCCCCCAACATCTTCACTTACAACATTCTCATTCGCGGATTTTGCGCAAAAGGAGATTTTGACGCCGCCATTGGTTACTTTGAAGAGATGAGGAGCTCTGGTTTTTCGCCCAATGTTGTTACTTACAACACTCTCATCGATTGGTACTGCAAGTCGGGTAAGGCAAACAAAGCAGTTGCATTGTTGGATGTTATGCTGGAGAAAGGAGTCAGGCCGAGCTTGATTACTTATAATTCGCTTTTGAACGGGTATTGCAGGGAGAGGCGAGTGGGGGACGCACGCAAGGTGTTCGATGAAATGGCTACGCAGGGAGTGATGCCAGACGTGATTAGTTATAACACAATTGTGAATGGGTATTGCAAGGAGGGGAATGTACACGGTGCATTGGTGGTGATTGATGAGATGTGGAAGAAAGGGGTGAAGGGGAATGTGGTCACATATACTTCGGTAATTTGTGCAATGTGCAATGTCGGAAATCTGAGGAGGGCAATGGAGATTGTTCGTATGATGCAGGAGAAAGGGATTCGACCCAACGAGATCACGTTTACGAGTTTGATAAGCGGGTTTTCGAAAAAGGGGCTTTTGGATGAAGCCATGGAAGTCATGAAGGAGATGAAATGGAGTAGGATTGAAGCCTCAGTCGTCTGCTACAATGCTCTGATCAATGGGTATTGTCGTTTGGGAAGAATGGAAGAGGCTATGTTGATCATTCGCCATATGGAGGAGGAAAAAGGATTAGTGCCTGATTTGGTGACTTACAGCACAATACTGAGTGGTTATTGTAGGATTGGAGATGTGGAGATGGCTTTCAAGTTGCAGAAAGAGATGGTTGCCAAAGGTGTCTTGCCAGATGCCATCGCATACTCTTCACTGATTAGGGGGCTTTTGGAGGCGAAAAGGTTGGGCGATGCAGGCGAGATGTTTAACGAAATGATTAGCTCTGGGCTGAAGCCGGATGAGCTGACATTCACAACACTTATTGATGGACATTGTAAAGAAGGTGAGTTGGAGAAGGCTTTTGCTCTTCATGATGAAATGATAAAGAATGGTGTTTTTCCTGATGTGGTTACGTATTGTGTGCTCATCAACGGGCTTAATAAGGCGTCGCGAGCAAAAGAAGCGAGAAGAATACTTTTTCGGTTGTGCGATGAGGAAAGGAATTCGGATAGAATCACATATGATGGCCTGATGAAGAGCTGTGACAGAACAGAGTACAGGAGTGTGGTGTCGCTGATGAAGAGCTTTTGTATGAAAGGATTGATTGATGAAGCTGAAAAAGTATTTGGGTTTATAAAAGAGAGGAATTTGAAGCCTGATGAGGCTGTCTATAATGAGATTATTTATGGGCACTGTAAGGTTGGAAATGTGAGGAAAGCACTGAAATTGTATGAGGAAATGCTGCAGGCTGGTCTTTCTCTCAGTGGGACAAGCAGTATAGTTTTAATCAAAGGCCTATTAAAGGAGGGGATGAATGAAGAGATTAATGAGGTTATTGAGCGATTATTGAGAAGCTCTTTGGGAACAGATGCTGAATCATATAAGATTCTTGCTGAGACAAACCTGAGGGATGGGAACATGGAGGCTCTGGTTGGTGTGCTTACTGAGATGGCAAAGGATGGCCTTCTTCCAAGAAGTGGGTAAAGGTTGGGATGTTATTATTCCCGTATTCCATCTAAAGCAAGTTTGGGAGCTTTTTCTTGTGTAAAATTTAAATCTTTCCAGTTCATAATACCATTCATTCATCTATTAATCATCCAATCATCAGAATTCATAATAAAACATCAACCCATATTTTTAGCTTTTGTCAAATTGTCAATTGTTTGATTGTGCAACACATAGGATATGTATTTTTTTTGCTTAATTTCCTTTACATTTATTATTTATTTTTGAATGAAATTACATTTTAAAGAAATGTTATTTTCATGTTTATATTGGAGGTATAACACTTGGAGCGGATTGGAGCTGAAACGGGGCGAAACATAGGCAAACGGGAGTAAATCGAGGTGCTGCCACCATGGGAGCGTCTAGGCGATAGTTTCCGCCTAGAAAACACAGAAGACGGCGCCTAGGCGCCCGAACGATCGAGGTGTGGTTTCTGCACGTTCCAAGGAGTTATTTGATTGATCTAGACGTTTGGAAAAACACTTTTTGACATTTCTAAGTCCTGGAATTCTCCAGGAAGGCCAAGAGGTTGTAGATAGAAGTGCGAAATGTAGATTTTTACCTTTTCTGAAGAGATTGGTGAGGGGATTTTTATAAATATCTTTAAGAGATTGCATTAGCATGGTATGGATCAACATGAGACTTTGTTGAAAGGATTTTCATTTTTTTTAGAGAGAAAAAGCTAAATATTGTATTTTTCATTATCTTGTTTTTGTTATAAACACTTATCTAGTGGATTTGCTTTAATTTAATGAAGTTTTCTGCTGTGTGTGATTTATCACAGACGCTCCACACAGCCCCAAGGAGCGTCTAGGATAGAAGGAGAGCGTCTATGACTCCTTGGGGCCGAGTGGAGCATTGGATGTTGAGGAAGGTGGAGACTTGGTCCACTTCCTATTACGGCAGATTCGTAGAAATCATTTGATAAATTGATTCTCATTTAATCTGCTCTTAATTGGGAATTTTTCTTAATAGGCAGCTTTTGATTAAATTAATCTAATTTAATCATTTCCTGTTAAAGCTTCGCATAAGGATCTTGCTGACCCCGCGTTCTTCAGAATTCACAAATAAGGATTTATAATTTCCTTGTTATGGGCCTCCTAAATATGGTTAATTGAGATGAGAATAGAAAACATGTAATTTAGCTAATAAATTAGATTTCTTCCCAGCTGTGGCGTCACATGGCTTCCAAAACCGGGCTTCTTCCTTATTGGGCTAAATAGGAAGAGTTATATTTATGGATGCTGAAAGAAATCGGATTTGTATGCATCTACTCCTGTTTTCTTCTACTTGGTTGATTCACGGCAAGAAAAAGGAAGTGCAAGGCATTGCATGTTTTTTTTCTCTCCGTATTGTTCTGGTGGTTTTTTTATTTGGTTAGAGAAAGAGAGAAGAGGAGAGATAATTCTTTCTTGTAAGTCGACGTGGTCGACGGTGTGATCCTCAAAGCTAATAAAATCCTCTGCAACTCCGTGGACATAGGCAATTTGCCGAACCATGTAAATCTTGTGTCGTCTTTTCTAGTGTAATTTTCTCAATCTATTTTTCGCTTTATTGCCGATGTTTTTTTATAACAATTGGTATCAGAGCCAGGTTCGGATCTGAGGAAGAACGATGGTCGGAGACGAAGTGAAGGTTTCAGGGATCGAGAAGTTCGACGGCACGGATTTTGGATACTGGAGGATGCAGATAGAGGATTACCTCTATGGGAAGAAACTTCATCTTCCACTTCTGGGAAAACGACCGGAGAAGATGGAAGAGGCTGATTGGAATCTGTTGGATCGACAGGTTCTGGGGGTTATTCGATTAACCCTATTGAGGCCCGTTGCTCACAATGTCATAAAGGAGAGGACGGCGGCAGATCTTATGGCGGTTTTATCAAGTATGTATGAAAAACCATCTGCGAATAATAAGGTGCACTTGATGAAAAAGTTATTCAACCTGAAGATGGCGGAAGGCGTGTCGGTTGTTCAACATTTGAATGATTTCAACACTATTACAAATCAACTATCGTCCGTTGAAATTGATTTTGACGATGAGATTCGTGCACTGATATTGTTGGCTTCATTGCCAAATAGCTGGGAAGCCATGAGGATGGCAGTTAGCAACTCTGCAGGTAAAACTAAACTTAAATATGATGATATTCATGACTTAATTCTTGCTGAAGAGGTGCGCAGAAAAGATTCTGGCGAGATCTCGGGTTCGAGTTCAGCACTGAATGTTGATTCCAGAGGGAGATCACAAGACAGAAACTCAAACAGAGGAAGGTCGAAATCAAAGCATAGAAGCAAGAGCAAGTCAAAGCCTGGTCAGCAAGCAACCTGCTGGAATTGCGGCAAAATTGGCCACATAAAGAAGAACTGTAAAAATCCTAAGAAGACGGAGAACGTCAGTGCTAACGCTGTAACTGAAGAAGTACAGGATGCGTTATTGCTTGCAGTTCATAACTCTGTTGACGACTGAATATTAGACTCAGGGGCTTCTTTTCACACATCTTCTCACCGGGAGTTAATGAGAAACTATGTTTCAGATGACTTTGGGAAAGTGTATCTGGCTGATGGAGCAGCTTTGAACGTTGTGGGGATGGGAGATGTTGAAATTGCACTCCCTAACAGAAACAAATGGATCCTGCAAAAGGTTAGACACATTCCTGAACTGAAAAAGAACCTTATATCTGTTGGGCAGCTTGATGAGGGAGGTCATTCAGTAGTTTTTTCTGATAACACCTGGAAGGTTACTAAAGGAGCACTGGTACTGGCTCGAGGTAAGAAGACTGGTACGCTATATATGACAACTGGTCTAATTAACAATGTTGATACCACAGTAGCAGAGAACACAGCAGACATGTGGCATTGCAGACTTGGACACATGAGTCAGAGAGGTATGAAAGAGCTTCAGTCTAGAGGCAAGCTACCAGAATTGAAGTCCGTTGATTTCGGCATGTGTGAAAGTTGCATCATGGGGAAGCAGAAGAAGGTCAGTTTCTTGAAAGGTGGCAGAGTGCCAAAGGCAGGAAAACTAGAACTGGTACACACCGATATATGGGGGCCTTCCCCAGTGACATCTCTTGGAGGCTCTCGCTATTACGTCACATTCATAGATGACCACAGCAGAAAGGTATGAGTTTATTTTCTGAAACATAAATCTAATGTATTTTCTGTGTTCAAAACTTGGAAGACCATGGTTGAAACGGAGACAGATCTAAAACTGAAATGTTTGAGATCTGACAATGGTGGTGAATACATTGATGGTGGATTCAAGGAGTACTGTGCAACTCAAGGTATCAGAATGGAGAAGACTATACCGGGGACGCCACAACAAAATGGAGTTGCAGAACGTATGAACAGGACCATCAATGAGCGTGCTAGGAGCATGAGATTGCACGCAGGACTACCACCAACCTTCTGGGCAGATGCGGTCAAC